TTTGCCGTAAGATTTCCTGTGCGAGTCTGAAATCGTGAGTGGCATGCCAAATGCTGAATATCTACAATTTTTGTTTCACCTGAGTTGATTTATATAACAGATAACATTACTTTATACAGTTGTTAAAAAGCGGAAACTTCCACGAACATGAAATCACCAATAAACGATGTCTATTTATCCAACATGTTATATAATACATACTGTGTTTTGGAAACTTTTCAGCTGTATGATTTCAGGACAGGTCAGCTACTCTGTTAGGAGCATTACGGCTTTTTGGTCGCTTTGCTGCTGATATCAACACTAATGGCACATTATGACGGACAAAGGGCTGCATACACCAAACTACGCGGTTAAAAGCATTTGCTAAACCACTACCGAAAAGACTACAAACGCTGTGCTGGTTAAAATAGAAGCATCCTGTCAGGTTTTAAATCATAACTTTCTGTTTTGGCTATTGGTCCGGCTCTGTATGGGACAGCTTCTGGGTCTGGATCCCGACTGCGGTCCGCCTGTTAGTGACCTCTGCTCTATTGGCATAATTAATGATTATAGAAAGATTGAGCTGATTTTGCCCAAATATAATGGTAATGATTACTTAATTGGTACTAAACAATGCATGAGCATTAAACTAAGAAAGCTTATCGCATATGGGAGTTAACATGAGTGACAAAATAGCGCTGGGTTAAATGGTTAGCGCTGGGACCGAGAACGTTTGTGATTGGTGGTTCGTTCTGTGATCGACGTTTGTTAGCTGCCGGTGCAAAGCTGCGTGTCGGCCTTGCATCCAAAAACCTTTAAATTAGCCTAAATTATATGACAGACTTTTGTGGATTGTTTAAGAATAAGAACAGCGTGACATTTGTTAGTTTAGCAAAAACACCAACAGCGCAGTCCACGACGCTTAATTTAATTTTGCGTTACTTAACATCGCACGTCCTGCGATGTGACTATTGCACGTGCGTACATCGCGATGACGATGCTGAAACGATATATCGTGCAGCCCTATTTACAACTGTACTTAATGGATAAATATTCCAAGTGGACTGCTGAAAAACACATCCTTACAAGAGCTCTTCCTCAGACTCTCTGTACAGCTTCATATAAATGGAAGAAGTATCCGCGTGCTTCAGGTTACCAGCACCAAGAAGTGCCACACTGCTATGCGTTCTGAAATAGTCTGCACACACAAAACCGCGCTCATTCTCTGTTGCGTGACACCTATTTAGCTGATGCTTTTACCCAAAGCCTTTTTGAGAAGCAGGGTCAGACTGTCCCTGGAGTAACTGTAAGGGCCTCACTCAAGGGCCCAACAGTGAATCACTCTGATAACCATGGGATTCGAACCAATGACCTTCTGATCACACACACAGCATCCCAACCCAGAGCCACACACGGCCTGCATTTATTTAGTGCATAAGATAGATTAACAGTGGATTCTCAGGCTTCTGTGCAACCTTTTGTTGGTTATGGAGCTCAGGTGTCTGGTAGATGGGTTCCTACCTCCGGATGGTTTACACCTCTAATGTGGGGACCATAAAACCAGCACAGTGCAGAATGGACCCCATCACTGACCCCCACCATATGGAAACAGGTAAACACCCCACTATTTACAGGACTCACATCAGTACATTACATCAGAGCCCAGTCTAATGTCCGCTACAAATTTATCTCCGTCTCACACCTTAGATCTACGAACTTCTTAACTTAACTTAACTTTGATGGTTGCAGACTGCACTGCCATAGAATAGGTCAGCGACGGTTGGCATGAGATGCTAAGGTACAAACGGACATTTAAAAACAAACAGCACAAAGGAAGCCGGCCTCCACAGATTTGCAAATCAGACAACAGCACAGCAGTAATTTCATTTTATTTACATTTACCAGATGTTTTTGTCCAAAGCTAAGGGACAGACAGCCAACGTGAGGCAGCGTCCCTGGAGCAGCTGGGGTTAAGGCCCTTGCTCAAGGTCGCAACTGTGATGCGATTACTGAGACCCGAGCCCACAACCTTCCTGTCACAAGAATAGACTCCTGATCCGCTAAAAGGACACACCAGCCCCTGTATATATTATTTTTTATTGTAATACATTCATCATTCCAAGTATCTGTGATTTAATGGCACCAGTCTGCACCTTCAGGACAGTCTCTGAACATGCCTCCAGATTCCAAAGTGCTGAATTTTTCTTTCTTTCTTTTATTTTTTTTAACGTGCCACCTGACTCAGCCCCTCCAAAACACTGCAAGCACTGCACACTTAAGGGCTTCAGCCCAGCGCAAAGCAGGAATAAACAGAGTCCAGTGCATCCAGCAGGTTTCAGAGGCATAAAAAAATACAGCCGGGGTTTTCCGTTTATAGCCTCTGTGTGACCTCTGCAACGATGATGTCACGATTTCGAGCCATGCCCGTTAAATGTACTGCCGTAAGACCTTCGACTCTGCCCTGCTGGAGGGTGTCTTGCCATCTAAGGTATACAGAGAGCAGAGTTCCAATTTCAGTGCCCAGTGGTCGTCTTTTGTATAAATGCCACATTTTTATTGTCAGTAAACCAAGCAACAAACCAAAGAGCTAAGAAATCCTTACAGAAATGTGATTAATAGCCCAACCAATCCAGCTAAAGCAAACACGGGCTGTACAGCGGCCCAGAGACTCAGCAAGCTAAACAGTGAAATAAGGGTTTTTTTAATTAAAATAATTTTTGTTTTTTTTACAGAGAAACATCACACTGGATTTGGCCGGATCAAAACTAGTTAAACAGAAATACTTTTGCTTTTCATTTGCTAAGTAATAATCACAGTACCAATTAACCAAAAGGTCTATGAGATCGATTTGGCGTCTCTCTGCCGCCGATTCCCGCAGAAACACAACTTGATTGTCACGATGCACAGATTTAGACATCATTATTAGGCAAACGGCTCGCCATTCTGGGGAAGAAAACAGAGCAGAGAGAACCCAGGCTGAAGGCAGGGCCATCGGACAGCGGCGTCCGGGGATCCCCAAGCGCCTCAATCAGCTGGAGCGCTTTTCCGAAGCAGGGGCTGGTTGCTCGGCAATGTCGTTTAACGACTGTGACCTGGAGTCCCACAGGGGCCCGATACAACACCACTGTCACACAGAGAGAAAAAAGGACGGTCTAAATTGGCAGGGATAAGTTGGGCGGCCACTGGAGGAAAGCCCACAGTCGTCACTGGCGGAGGCTGGCGGCTTTGCTGTCGTGCACAGCACCATGTTGTGCTTGACAATGCGAATCAGAAAGCGGACCGACAGGGAACTGGGGAAACAGGCGAGCATGTCCCTCTGCTAGCTGACAGACATGGACACATTATGAACAGCCATGATGGACAGAACAGAATCCCTAATGGACACAGAAATCACTACCCTGGGATGGAAACTCGCCGACAGCTAATCTACCATCACAAAAAAAATCATTTTCATTTTATCTATCTATATATCTATCTATCAGATGCCTTTATCCAAATCAATGTACAAAGCAAGGTCAGACAGTGCCTCAATTCTGCCAACTATGCGATTTGAACCAGCAACCTTCTGGTCACTAGTGAAGGATCAAATCCCATACATACTTTATGTACAGTATAGACACACCGATTCGCATGTCTTTGGACTGTGGGAGGAAATTGGAGTACGCAGGGAAAACCTGAACGACACTAAACACCACACAACCAGAGCGGTTGCAGAATTAGAACCCACAACCTTAGAGGTGTGCGACCACAGGCCTCCCAACAAGTCACTGTACAATACTATAAATAATATGCAAAGAAGAGATATATATTACTTTCTGTGAAAATCACATTCATAAATCAAGTTAATAAATATTTACTAAAATTTCTGGATTAAGTATTATACTGATTAACATTAAACTGATATAAATGTATAAATACTATTACAATGAATTGCCTTGGGTGCTTGGTAGGTTAAAACAGGTACAGTACAAAGATATGGCATGAAAAACACTTATAATTAGGGTAGGTCTACAGTTTATCCTATATTCAAAAATTAGAGCAGTTTGTTAAAAATATTCCAGCAGTGACCCAACTAAATTCTGAGACAAGGAATTTTGAAATAAGGTCACATGTTATGGTCCAGAAAAAGTAGGGTGGCGGTGCAGAGACAGATTACATGTCTGTGGATAATTATTCCATACTAATAACCACATTTCATGTAAGTGTAGTCAGTACCGTATGCATAAAACAGGTGAGAGTCAGCTCTGGAGCCGGGATCATTATTTTCAGTAGCTCACTATTGAGGCACGAGCGGACACTGCAGGTATGATTAAAAATACGAGTGGATCCCTGCGTGGCGGGACGGGGGGAGGAGTGTGAGGCCCAAGGAAGTTGGCAGGTGAGCTTGGCGCAGCGTGCGGCCCACTGGCTGCGTAAGGTGCGCAAGATGCGCAGAATGCGCCCTTCGGCAGTCTGGGGGATGCCGACGCAGCCCGCCCCCGTCTGCGGGATCCAAGTGTCAAAGCTCCCCGTGCAGCCTGAGCTGCAGCTGCGACAATGCAGCCCAAGTACAAAGCTATATAAAAGAGGTGTGGGGGAAAATCTTCCGGCACGGAGGGTTTACATCACACGGTGACTGACACTGCTTTGTATCATCCCTGACATCAGCCGCGTAAAACAAGGGGGCACGACGTCAAGTTCCTTTTAACTTAAGCGGCTTTTAAGCCTGCGAAACTTTTTTCTGCCGGAGTTGCAAGCAAACGCGCACCCGTGGAAAAAAAATCCCCTGAAGCCGCGATCACACGCTCCAGGCTTGAACACTTCGGGAGTCGCGGCCGCGTCCGCGCACATGCACACGCGCGCCGGCCGCATCAAACAGACATCGCCCGGCTCGCGCTGTCGTCGCGCACCGCCGTGTCCATTAATGCTCCGCACCAGAGGCGAGGACCCCGGCCAACATGCTGGCAAACCAAGCGTACACGCGTCCCCTCGGCGCGCCCATACCGCGGGGTCCGTGCAAGCAGCATTAAAAAAAAACCTACCTTCCCAGCGTAGGAAACGTAAATGATATGTACGCTGTACCGTCAACTCTTGGTTATTGTTCGCTTTCGTCCTCCATCCATTTCACCGCCGCCATTTTGCCTGATACTCTGCAGGTCAAACTATGTCTGTAAAAGGGATGATGTGTCCACAGTGAGTGCCAATAAGGATAATTACTGGAATAAGTGTCTGATGTATTATCACATCAAAGCTCAGACTGAGCTTATGACTTATTTTATTTCACTTTATTTATATTTTCCGTCTAACATTACTTGGTTCATAGTACGGGTTTGGCTGTCAAATAGAAATACCCCCCTTTTTAATAAATGGATTATTCCAGACAGACGGCAGAAAAATTCTTGGTTAAAAGTGGCTGCTTGGAAGATTGGAAAAATGGTGGGAGTGGGCACAGACACATTGCCCTTTAAATATATTAAATGGTACAATGCACCTATCGCACCAAGATACATTTAGGGAAATATATCGCCTCTATAATGACCAGTACGTATTTCGAATATGTATATTAGAATTCTGAATGTTGCACAATATCGCAGAGAACACCTTTAAGTATAAAAGCTTATTGTTAATATGCTGTGGTAGGCCACACTAAAATCATTTAAAAATCAAACATTTTAGTAATATCTTTTAGGTAAATTTCCATTTGTAATGAATCATGTCTACATTTTTAAATAGCAAAGTATACATGTATACTGTACTTAAAGACATTAAAGTGAGATAAGTGTTCAACTGAAAGCTGAGTATTTCTTCTCCATTTCATTGACAATTTGAGTACTATGGTAACATCAGCACCAATAGCAAACAAATCAAGATGTCTACAAACATTCCAGTGATGCTGTTCCTGCTTTAAATAAGAACATTCACATAAACTGTTCATGTCTAAGACAATGTTTGACAATAAAAGGTTAAAAGACATATAACTAATGATGATGACATCTATATACTAGCATTGCCACCCATCCAGGATTTTCCGGGACCACCCCAGATTTTGATTCAAATTTCATTCCTGGACATGGAATGCCCCTATGAATTCCCCTAAGAAACAGACCTAAACAAACCTTTGGAATGATGTCGGGTGTTGGGTCAAAGACTGGGTGTCCAGGATTTTATGGGACTCAGATGGCAACTCTGCTATATACCAACTGGTCATAATATTAAACCTACCTGCGTAATATTGTGTACGTCCCTCTTGTGCTGCCAAAATAGCTCTGACCCATCGAAGCATGGACTCCACAAGACCTTTGATGGTGTCCTATAGTACCTGGCACCAAGATGTCCGCAGCAGATCCTTTAAGTCCTGTAAATTGAGAGGTGTGGCCTCCATGGATTGGACTTATTTGTCCAGCACATCCCACAGATGCTCGATCGGTGGTATGTTTCCCAGAAACATAGTTGCTAACAATATTACCAACTTACATATATGGAACCATACAACTGAGTCGTTCCAACTATATGAGCGGCTACCGGGAGGCTTTGGGAAACATACCTTGGATTGAGAACTGGGGGATTTAGAGGCCAAGTCAAGAACTTCAACTGTTTTTTATGTCCCTAAAGCTATTTCTGAACAATTTATGCAGTGTGACAGGGTGCATTATCCTACTGAAAGGCTGCTGCCATCAGGGAATACCGCTGCCATGAAGGGGTGTACTTATTCTGCAACAACGTTTAGGTAGGTGATATGTATCAAATTAACATCCACATGAAAGCAAGGACCCAAGGTTTCTCTGTAGAACATTGCCCAGAGCGCCACTCTGCCTCCGCTGACTCGCCTTCTTCCCATAGTGCATCCTGGTGCCCTCCTTTCCCCAAGTAAACAATGAACATACACCGGATCATCCACCTGAAGTAACAGAAAACATGACTCATCAGACCAGGCTCCCTTCTTCCATTGCTCCATGGTCCAGTTCTGAAGCTCACATGTCCATTGTAGGTCCATTGTTATATGAAGGCTTTTGGTGGGAGACAGGGGTCAGCGTAGGCATTCTGATCGGTCTGGGGCTACACAGTCCCATGTGCATCAAGCTGCAATGTAGGGTCGGACCAAACAGGCTAGTCTTCACTCCTCACATGTATCACTGAGCCTTGGAACCCGTTACCCTGTTGCTGGTTCCCTGGATGGCCTTCCTTGGACCACCTTTAGTAGGTGCTGACCACTGCATACCAGGAACTCCCCACAAGACCTGCTGTTTTGGAGATGCTCTGACCCAGTCTTCTAGTCATCAGGATTTGCTTCCAACATATCATCTTTAAAAAACTGACTATTCACTTGCCAATATAATGAGACCCTTGACAGGTGCCATTGAAGCAAGATAATGTTATTCACTTCACCTGTCAGTGGTTTTAATGTCTTAGCTGTTCGGGGTATGTCCTGAATACATTGATATTAATGTTAATTATAAAGGTTTATTTATCTGTTATTTAGTGAGCACATATATATAGTGATCCACTGTAATGTACGTAGTTCTTAATTAACATTCAGTGTCTCTGGCAGCCCTCAACATGTTATGCATCGACCAAAAACAGCGGAAGCAGATCACATATATATGTTTATGTAACGTTGTAACAGTGTACTGCAGAATCGCTAAATGTATGCAGTATTTTCTCTTAAACCTGTTTCTAAATTGGGTTTAATATTTGTCTAGTACATCTGAGTAATCTCACACGTAGTAGACTTTTGCATATTAACGTGCATTTAAACAGCACGGTAAACGCATTGTCCATTCAGCCAGGATGTCACCTTAACCGCCTGCAGTGCGTCGCACGGCTATGGCGCGGTCACATGACCGGGAGACCCGGCTGCGCTACGCGAGGCCGGCGGCGGCGTTGCTCCTGCACCGCGGCCACGCGCAGGTGCAGTGTCCTCTGCGGCTGGCGCGAGGGGCGTGAGCGCTGCGCTCGAGCGATGCCGGTGGGCAGGTTTGGCGGGCTGGCGTAGCCGAAGGGGATAATAGTGCCGCGTTCTCTTTTTAGTCATTAATTTCCTAAACGACAGTACATTTAATAAGGTAGTATATGTCTTATTGAATTAGTTTTCCTCACAGAATTCACTTATTATTTACCCCCTCGAAAAATATCGGTCTATATTATCACGCAAAATTTACATTGTTTTAGCTGGCGGATAAAATTCTTGAAGCGAATTAGCATGTTTAATCAATACATAACAACACCCATCATACAAGACTTAACTTAAATGTTCATACCAGAGCTAACCTCCTAATTATTAATTATGCTATCATCCACAAGGTGTTCAAGAAAAGCATATTGTGGAAAGCCGGTATAGTATGTTATCTAATTATCCGTATTAGCTGTATTACGTGTTATCCGATGTCATGTTTGTTTATTAACAAGCCTATTTGTGTGCTCTCCACCAGTCTCAATTATATAACTCCAGCTTTAAATGAGTATTTACGTTTTAAAATATTTGTATTATTTGTTAAAATTCCTGTTCATTTGTTAATATTTGTTCGTGTAGGCATGCGTGGTTATGGACGAACATGTGTTCGTACAAGTCCAGACCAAGGTTTTGTTTCAGCGAACCAGTCGAGTACTCTATGACTGCATGTGAATGTTTATGCTCAACTGTTTAGTTGAAACCAAATCTTGGTCTGGATTTCTAACTTCTGGTCCTGAACTTTCCATCTCTGCCTATAATGGATTACTTTTGGGAGTGACTTTCCTCAACACTGAGTAAAGCATAGTTATCTGAGTGCTGCAATTCTCATATAATGACTTGTATGGCATCAGATAAGTAGTGAAAAATCTCAGATCCTTGTTACTTGATTCATCTGATCTTGTTACCCACAGCTGATGCTGCATGATGATCTAAGACAATGCTGGACTCTGAAGACTGCACTCTGTCCTTGGAGAGCCTGTTCTATGAAAGACCCGTTGTTCTTCAAGCGTGAGTGGAACTTCTGCAATGGATGCCATGGGAACATGAGTCTCCATATGTACACTGACCCTCAACCAAAATTATTTAAAGTGTAGTTTTCTGTGGTGTTTTTATTCCCAATATCTATAGAAAATGTCAGGAGCAAATCACTTGGCAATCGGAACCACTTCTGTTGTCTTCCGAAATACCGGAAACTCAGCATTTAAAGGGAACGGCAGAATCTCTTTCTTGTGGGGTCAAGCTCCCTATGACAGATCATCTGGGATGCTTGGCAGGTAAGGGTCTTCAACCCCTAAAAAAGGTATACACAATCCAGTTAAAAAAACAGGTCTGTTTACCTCTGGTGTGTTTGAGAAAACTCTGTCACATTTTAAATGAATTTATATTTAAAACAACCAGCACATTGTAAAGAGCTATTAGTCTAAATCAGGGTTGTCCAGTCTTATCCACAAAGGGCCAGTGTATATGTGGGATTTCGTTACAACTCCCTAATTAGATTACTAACTAGAGGACTGATTGGCTGGAGAATCCTCACACCTGGGTCTGAACAGCTGACCTAAAGGTTATCACAAAAACCTGCATACACACTGGCCCTTTGCAGATAAAATTGGCCACCCCTGGTCCAAATCAACAAAATTAGCCCTGAGGTATGATACTTAATATAGTTTTTTTCACTGGTTTTCCGTATTTGTAAATTACCATTGCATTTACATGTATTAAGATATTCATCCATCCACCTATCCAGTCCTGGCAGTTGGGGGTAGCCGGGAATTAGTCCCAAGCAGCATAGGGAGCAAGGCCAGGGAATATCCTGAATGGGATTCCAGTTCATCATAGTAGCTGAGAATCACATAAGATGTTCTAAAAGACCAAATGCCATAGGAAATATCTTATAAATAGCATATAGAATTGAGAATAAAGTATCATTAATTCAGCATTTGTTCACTGACCCTGCTCTACGGAAGGGCACTTTTTGGCTTTTGTGTTGAAGGGAGTGCAGGTTTTTGTTTCTGCCGAGCTCTTAATTAACCTATATCAGCTATTGTCATATTCTGGTTAATTCAGACATGAGTTGAGGACTTATTATTGTTCTTTATTGTCATTATTTTTGTCATTTAAAATAATTTTATATTTTATAGGATTAAGCACCCTTAACCTTAAACTATTAAATTGTAAATTAAAGCACTCTAATCTATTAATGAAAATATGAATACGTAGTAATTTTACTACATTAATTTTAATCATGGTACACCTGAGATATGACAGTCATTCAGTGGAGAAGGTCGTGACTTCATATCTCCTAGGGTGAGGGTTCAGATCTAGCAGATCTGGCTGTGTACATGCTGTGTTTTTATCAGGTTTGTAAGGTTTTTCGTCCTCTGCTGGTACGAAGACCTTGGTGTCAAAAAATATTCGTGCCCTCTGTTGGTCATGCAGTCCATCCCAGTTGTACTCTGACACGGTGCAAGTTCCAGGATAGAGGAGGATCTTATTGGTAAAGCAGTACATTGGAGACAGTTGTTATATGAAGGCTGCTGTTATATATACTCCTCATCTGTGAATAAGTTGCATCTGGATCTAATCTGCTACAGTGTACTTTGTCCCAAAATCTATATTTTGTGCTCAGAAACTTGAATCTTTTGCACACTACCACGGAATAGCCCTAGGTGAAGCTTATACTCTGTACTTTATAAAACTGAAGTTCATCGAGCTGCTGAAAGTCATTCACAGCATTGGTTGAAATCTCAAGTCCAAACTGATTCTCCTTTTCACAGGCTCTTATCAGAAGTCAAAGAAATTCCTGCCTCCTTTGAAAAAAGCTGGTGGGGATAGATGTTTTTCCTCACAAAAAGGGCAGTTTCTGAATCTCGGAGCACCAGTTGAATTACCTGAACAAGAAGGGTCCCGTGTTTTGATGGCTGACAGGTGCACACAATCTCAGAGTCTCCTGGTCAGCGCTAACACATCACGATTCTCAGAATATCTGCTGGAAAAGCAAACTTTCACTTCTTCGTTTAGCCAAAACAATAGGTATATCTCTGAGCTCGGGAGAAGGTATAGTTTGTCTTCTGTCATAAGTGTGCATGTTTTGTTGTGTGGGAGCGTAATGCTGGTAATATCCACATGATGGCTTTTATGATGCTGTGCTTAAGTCTTTGGAGTAGCTCATAGAAGCATACAGTAATTTGATTTGCATGCAGCTATTTCTAGGTACTGTTCTGGGTACTTCATTCTGAAATTTGTATCTGTATACATAGCTATACGTTTTCAGACATATTTATTTAAATCGGTGTTTCCCAACCCGGTCCTCAGGGACCCACAGCCAGTCCACATTTTTGTTCCCTCCCAGCTCCCTCCTGTGTGTACTGTCTGGGGCTCCTCAAGCGGTGGATTGGGAAACATTGATCTAAATTCATTTTTCAGGCCATTTAAACCTCCACCTAAGGTGGCTGCAGAGCCCAGCGGTCATTTGAGCAGTGCGCCATGTCCGAAAGAGGCCGGGACCGATGATGCTACCACTGGCCAAGTTTCTAAGGCGGCAGAAAATCCATTCATGACACCAGCTGCTACTTTCTCCATGGCTCCTTTCACAAGTTCATATGTGCCCGGTGCAGACGGCCCACCTTCGTCAGAGTGTGATCGAACCATACAAAAAGTTCATATCCTTCCATTTAATCCCCAATCGCTCAATATACAAGGTCAAGGTGAGTCTGCCGGGCAGTGTGCTCATTCCAGCCGTGAGCATCTTACACAACACAGGATGAATGTCTTTCTTTTTGTTTTCTATTTCTTTTTTGAGAAATCAGATATGACATCGGATTTCTGTTCTTAGAGCATGAAATTATTCTTTTAATGGCCTGTCATGCGTGTGCAGCAGAGTTTGATTTCGGCCTCCTGAAAGGCTACAAGATCTTAGATGATCTATTATGCCGTTTGTGTCTTGAGCTCCCAGTCATCCACTGCAATTTATTTTATACCTTAGGGCACTGCAGGCTATTTTTCTTCGTTTCTGACTTCGCCCATCTTTTCCGATCTCGCATCGCGCACGCTGAGCTGCTGCCTCGAGCTCTCTGCACGGGAACTTCAGAGGAAAGCACATCGTTATAGAGCAGTCAGTTCAGCAAGGGGCTCAAAACCAGAAGTTTAAATCCTGGGCACAACAAAGTTCAGGATTTCACCTGGGGAGATTTGCCTGTAAAACTACTCAAGACAGAAATTCATTTAACAGTCGTTGTCTTTTATGTGGATTGGTGGACCGCTAAAGCATTATTAAAGACTGAATATGCATAACCCCTTTTTAAAATTCCAGTATTACATTTTTCAGAAGGGCCTCTAACCCTCTCACAGCTAAGACTATTAAGCTGGTTTATAAACGTGAGTCAGTTGAAATGGGTCATGTCCATATAATTCTGTTTAAATTAACAACATATTCTAGATCTTTTATTGTCATTCATTCATTGCCATGGTCTACCTGGACAAAGATGTCTATCATTTTCTGTTTTGGAGACTGTAATTTAATCTCTTATTCTGGTAATGTGTGAAACTAGTAACATGCCTCCCTTTTGCCAGCCACTTCTACACCTCCGTGGCTCGTCTCAGCCGAGGTGACGTGTGGTATCCCTTGGTGCTGGCCACTTCCTGACATTGACAGAACACTCTTCCTGTTTTAACTGTAAACGGGTACACTTTCAAGCAACTGGAAAGGAAGCCTGTTTTGAAGGGGATGCTCATCAGCGGGTCCCTCCCCAGTGTATTAGTGACCAAGCAAAGGCCTAGACATAAATTAAACTCATCTCTGGGCTTTTTTGACAGCCTGTCCCAATAAGAGTTATTATATCTTCTTATATCTCTCAACAGTCTCATCAGAATGTACAAAACATATACATTTTTTGTACCTAAAAATGCTACGTTCACATTTGAGTGGTTTAAAGGGATGACTTTACTCAAAGTAAACACTTTAAACAGATTATGGCCTGGTCGACAGTCCCCGTTGAGGCCACCAGGTGGCAGACACTGGCTGCTTAACTGCTGGTTATCAGATACAATTTGTACCATGAAAATTCATTTATGTCAGCTAGTCAATATGATATGGACATTGTTACATCGTTTTAGATGTGCTTTGATGTTTGGGTTTTATATAAATTAATCAGCATCGGCATGAGCAGGGTCAACAGAGAATATACATCGCTTTAGTCCTTCTTGAATATGCCAGATCAGGTACTGTGGAAGATTAGTGCTAATATATTCTACAGAGCTGCACCTCATTAGATGAGGGATGATTTATTAACGACTCCTTCTTTTCAGGTGGATCTGGGCCGGGAGTCCTCCGCTCCGTCACCGAAATCCGTATCCTTCTGCCATCTTAATTCCCCCGCGCTGATCGCAATGAGCCTCAGTGGCGGCTTCCCAGAGTAGTTATCTGTCCCTCTGTGCTTCAGGTTAACATACATAAAGCTCTCGAGTGCTCAGGTGGCTCCCTGCATGCCGCCAGCCAGTGTCAGTGTGCTCATGCATTGTTAAAGGGGTGGCTATTATTTGTCTGATAGATTAAACGTGACGTGTTGGGGCAGCGTATCCCTTTGTGGGTAATGCCGCTTCCTCAAAGTGCAGTAAGGGCCTTGTATCAACAAAGAGAAGGTGCCCAATGGCACATCAAACCTCCAGCAGAAGGGTGGATTCCCCACCATACTGAATGACCCGTGTTTGTCATTGGTCAGAATGGAGGATGCATACCATTGAGATTTTAAGGCATAGCCTAATTGTATGTGAATTGTATGCAAAATTGGTTTCTTATTGTGTTCATTTTGTTGATATATGTATTTCATCCAAAACACTTTACAGGTATATAAAATTTAAAAACGAGAAGGATCACTAAGCCAGATAATTGCAATTTTATTTTTCTCGGACAGCCTATTTCACTAAAGGGAAAATGTTAAAACACAAAAGCCTTGATATGACTTGCAAAGCTGCACAGTTCAGATCCGTCTTCAAAGAGTTCCCTTACTTTAATTATGTGCAGTCGAAAGCCCTGGATGATGTAAGTGGGTGAATCTCTCCCATACTCATGCTTTTTATCTGTTAAATTAATTCAGTTCAGTGGTTCTAATTCAGATGAATAACATGCAAATATAATAAAATGATCTGTTTTACAGATCCTTTACACCAGTAAAAATTTTGTGGCCTGTGCTCCCACTGGCTCTGGAAAAACAGTGCTCTTTGAATTGGCAATTATTCGATTGCTGATGGAGGTCCCTGCTCCCTGGCACTCTGTTAAAGTTGTGTACAGTAAGTATTGGTCGTTCACAGTTATTAAAGGAAGGCCACAAGGGTGTTTCTCTCGTTTGATCGTTGGAACACAACCTCTGGGTTAGCGCTCCATTCGCGGTCAAACATCCCTGCTTCTGGCACAGTGAAGATGAACTTTTCAGAGTGCAGGTTTGGTAAACAAGACTCACTTTTTAAACTTGATTTTGTTATTGCACTCTGAGATGTGCTGTGATTTTAGCTGTTTTTTTCAGAGAGGTAATCTTTTGCCAGCTGCCTTTATGTTTCCTGGAGTTAAAGCTTGAATTGCTTCATTGACTCACTGATTGAAGAAGTAGCCTGACCGTGCTCTTGTTCTGTGTTATATGCTTGCAGTGGCACCAATTAAAGCCCTTTGCAGCCAGTGTTACGAAAATTGGAGGCAGAAATTTGGGTCTCTCGGGCTCAACTGCAAAGAACTGACCGGTGACACAGAAATCGATGACTTCTTTGAGGTTCAGGACGCCCACGTCATCATGACCACACCGGTAGGCCAGGCTTTCGCGTTGGTGCTGTGTGGGTTTAGACTACACAAACACCGCCGGTCTGGGCACATTGACCACTGTGTGCACCTGGTTCCCTTTGACTTGTATCTCTGTCTTTCTTCTCACCTTCAAGGAAAAGTGGGACAGTATGACAAGGAAGTGGAGGCTTAGCAGCCCAGTGCAACTGGTCAAGTTGTTTCTCATAGATGAGGTCAGAAGTTTCCCTGCAGTGACCTGCTCCATTTTTAATATCTTTTCTCTTCAAACAAAGTATATATTTCACTGTATGTTTGGCATGTGGTACATATTTATGAACCATCTCCAGATCCATGTGGTGAAAGACTCAACTCGCGGAGCAACTCTGGAGGTTGTTGTCAGCCGAATGAAAACGATGAATGCCTATCGCGATGGAGGCGACCACCAGTCACGTCTTCCCATGAGATTTGTGGCCGTGTCTGCTACCATTCCGAACATTGCTGACGTGAGTCGTTGTTCGGATGGCAGAGCAGATGGAAGGGGAAATTGTCTGGGTGTGATATTCTGATGTTCAGTTAGTGCTAACACCAGCTGTGCTCTCAGGTCGCCGAATGGCTCTCGGACGCCTTGGGTCCAGCTTCCTGCCTGCAGCTAGACGAGAGCTACAGGCCGGTGAAGCTCAGGAAGCTGGTGCTTGGCTTCCCATGCGGCACCAATCAGACAGACTTCAAATTCGACCTGTCCCTCAACTACAAGATGGCGAACATCATCCAGACGTACTCGGACCAGAAGCCCACGCTTGTGGTGACTGCGGGCTTCTCTAAATGCCAGGCTTTGATTCAGATGCCTGGAAATCAGCTGACATTCTCCCTGCTTGTTTTTGTGTAGTTCTGCTCCACGAGGAAAGGTGTGCAGCAGTCTGCATCTGTGCTGGCAAAAGACGCCCGCTTTATCATGAGCGTGGAACAGAAACAGAGGTCATTCGGCTCTTGTGCATTTATTCTTTAATCCACACTCCATAGCAAGATCATAGTCCTTGTTGCATCATGTCTAAAGCATTTGTTACTGATCTGAATCCAAGAAACGTAAAATACATTTAGATTGAGTGATTTATCATTTTTTTTCTAAAATGTTATACACATCCTCTAGCTCAGGGGTGGGCAATCTTATCCAGAAAGGGCCGCTGTGTATGCGGGTTTTCACTGCAACTCCCTAATTAGATTACTAATTAGAGGACTGATCGGCTGAAGAATCCTCACTGGACCTGGGTTTGAACAACTTACCTAAAGGTTATCCTAAAAACCTGCATACACACCTGCCTTTTGTGGATAAGATTGCCCACCCCTGCTCTAGCTGAATTGTATTAACTCCAAAAGAGGCACTCGTTGAGCTTTTGAAGGTGCACAACATCTCCAACCTGTTTATTCTGCCAGGAAAGTACTCGTTTTTTTCTGATGGGCTATTGTTCTCATTTTGCAGGCTGATGAAATATGCAAACTCCCTTCTTGATTCCAAACTCAAAGGTATCCCTGGTACCTCCTCCCCCACAGCATTCATGTGTGTCTGCCCATAAGTGCATATGGAAGTGCTTCTGAAACTTTCTTTGTGATATTAATATTTCATAAGTGACCTCTACATGTTTTTCGTGTTCCAGATCTAATAACACACGGAGTTGGTTTTCATCATGCCGGGATAGACGTTTCTGACCGGAAGATAATCGAAGATGTGTTCACCGCTGGAGACCTACCGGTACTCTGTGAGCGTCACCTTGGGTCTTCGAAGCCTCCTTTCATTCCTTGAAACTATCAATAATTTGTGAAAAGTTTGGTACCATGACAGGTTTTAACCTTAACTTATTCTTAACCTAGCTGTTAGACAGGAGAATGATAAAAAATAGACAAGATGCAGGCTTTGAATCACCTCCCAGTATGCCTTTGTCTTTCTGTGTGTTAAACACATATTTTGGATTTTTACTGTGATAAACGCAGAGCCATCAAGGTATATTCATTTATACACCAAGAAGTGAATTGAATACAAATCATACTTAAACATGATTTAGGTTAAAACAGTGATTTATGTTTTTTTGTATGGAAAATTTAACTTAAAAAAAGGATTTAATTTCCTCAAGTATGCGCTCTTAGATACAAACAGACTGAAGTAATATATAATGGGCAGAACAGTTTTATTTATTTCACCCAGTTACAACCAGTACTTTAGCAATGGGAGTGAACCTGCCCGCTCACCTGGTGGTGATCAAGTCCACAGTGCACTACGTCGGTGGTTCCTGTGAGGAATACAGCGAGATGGACATCCTGCAGATGATTGGCCGGGCTGGCCGACCTCAGGTACGCAGTCGCACGCTGGCCTACACCCAGAGGCCATGCATGCTCCTCAACCCTGCAAGGCACAGCCACCTCAGAGGCACCACCGGCTTGCCGTGTACTTCCGTGTGCATGTGGGAAATGTGCTTTCTGTTCTAGTTTGACACGACCGCGACAGCAGTGATCATGACTAGGTCCCAGACAAAAGCAAAATACCTGAAGCTAGTGAGTGGCTCCGAAACCATTGAGAGCAGGTAAGGCACTGCTCGTTAAGATGAAGAATCACTTTGTACCTGTTTGATCAGAAATAAAGATTACAGCAATAAAATACAGAGAATGAAATGATAAAATAAGGCCTGCATTTGAATGCATGTATGCGTCTCTTTATTCATGGACACTTGACCTTTATTATGTGCCCTCCAGCTTACACAAACACCTCGTGGAACACCTGAATGCAGAGATAGTCCTTCACACCATCTCTGATGTGAATGTGGCTCTGGACTGGATTCGTTCCACCTTCCTGTACATTCGAGCACTGAAGAACCCCAGCTATTATGGTGAGCATGCACTCTCCATCCACATGGAACAGACGCATATTAACATGTGTTGTTTCCCTCATTTTACAACGATTTATCTGAAGGTTTCACGTCAAGCCTGGACAGAGTTGGAATTGAAACAAGACTGCAAGGTATACAATAATCCCTGAAAGATAGTGGAATGTTCTTGGAATGTGGTTTTAAGCAGGTCATTATAAATCAGACCAATCTTCTTATCTTTTCAGAGCTCTGTCTTAAGAATATAAACTCACTGGCTGAAATATGCCTGATCACTATGGACGAGGACATAAATTTTAAACCCACTGGTAAAGCGCTATTTCTGTGTCAGGAAACGTGTTGGCATGTGTAAGATCTCTCATGATACTGCTGCATCCGTATTTCTTACTGATGTGTTGTCGAGTCCAGAAAATCCAGATTAACCTGTGACTATAGCCCAATTTATTTATGTGGTATTTTATTTGCTGAAATGAGGAGCCGGTGAATAGGAACACAGGTTTTGTACCTCTCATCTGCAGAGGCAGGTAGGCTGATGGCCAGGTACTGTATAGCATTTGACACCATGAAGCATTTCAGTTCGGTGTGCGGGACGGAATCGCTGCCTGAGCTGGTGGGTGATTTTTCCAAGCCTCTTGCATTTTGACTTGTTATTGCGGCATTTACTGATTAAAAGAGCCCCCAAACTGACGGCATGCCTTTTCATAACAAGATCAAGGTCATATCCAAAGGCAAGGAGTTCAATGATGTGCAGCTCAGGATGAATGAAAAGCGAACTCTGAATACTCTGAACAAGGATAAACACAGGATAACGATCAGGTCGGAGCATAGCGGAAAGTGCATTTTTCTGGAAAAGACTGCAGGTATAAATCCTGTTAGCCATAGTCATGCTTGTTTTCTGTGTTTTCAGATTTCCAATGGAAGGAAAGATTAAAAACAGGGAAATGAAAGTCAACTGGTATGTCGCACAGACCCCCATAAACCCTCCGCAAACACATTCTTTCAGCACATGCATATTTTTTTGCAGCTGTTCTTCGACAATATTTCTTACCACTTTCCTGACTGAATGTGATTTATGGAACCTTCTTACTTATTTTACGCAGTGATGGAATTTCCAACAAGATTTTCAAAGAAATGTCACAAAAGATTTTTAATAATTAGCTTTCTGATGATAGTTTTTAGGTTGTGTAGTTTCCAACAGACTCCAGTGATACTAATATGCTCCATCGCGCCTCATTTTTTTAGAAATAAAAAATAGGAAGAAACTGGCATACTGATAGAATCAGTTATAAATGTATTTCAGTTTTGGTGCCTCCATTGTGCAAAACCATCTCTTTCCTTAGGAATACGCAGAAACTACATAGTCCAGTGAGCATTTTCTATTTGCCTGTTGTGTGCTGAATCCTTTGTAAGTCCCCTTGTATTTTCATAGCCTGATACAAGCTCACCTTGGCTGCATCCCGACTCAGGAGTTTGGACTCACTCAGGATACTGGAAAGATATTCCGAATTGGAATTCGCATGACTAAATGTAATGCATTTTTTCCTCTTCCTTTTCTCAGTCAGTAATATCGGCATTGTTCCTGTTAGCTTGGCTCACGCTGCACAGTCTGTTCCTAATGCCTCCTGCCTTTAAACCATAAAACAGCAGCCACCTGAGAATGAGATGAAATGGAGACTTGCAGGGTGGCAGTACGGAATGTCCTAGAACACTCAGCTGGGGCAGCAACAGAATCATTATCACTGAACTGTATCTCATCCCAGGAACAGTGAGCTAGTTCACAACAACTTCAATGGTAATAGGTCACTCATTGGCTTGTGTTGGACCAGGTTTGTCAGAGTACCTCAGCCAACACCCCAGGAGGAAGTTCACGGCACTGCTCAACTCTCTAATTTTGTCCAAGTGCTTCCGGGCCAGGCTATGGGAGAATTCGCCATTCGTCTCAAAGCAGCTGGAGAAGATAGGTGGGTGTATTTCAGTCAGAGAGCTGAGGACGGGCTTTGGCTGGAGCAGACTTCACAGTGAGGAGGCCCACTGGTTCCCTTTGAGATACAAACAATAATAGATTGGCTCCGATGCATGTAACTCCAGATGTCGTGCCAGAACAAAAACTCAAGGAGAATGAGTTTAATGCAAACCTGTAACACTTATTGCCCTTTTCCATAACTGGACAAGCTGCACAGTCAATAAAACACTTTATTACTGACAAATAATAGCCTGTAGCTGGACTGCTTTGCCAAAAATATACATGTAACAGAACAGAGGAGCTCTTGTGCCTCTGTTATCGATTTAGACCATCTCTGCCCATTAAAGGGCCACGTGACTTCAGTGCCTTAACAGAACATAAAGGGGATTTTGGCCAGTTGCAGTTACATGGTTACTACTCTTTATTTACGATGTCACCTCCACCGGGGTCATGGCCAGGTCGAAATGTGGCTTTTGTCAATCCCAGACCTGATTTCAGGCCGGATTAGCTACATTCAGCTGACAGTGCCTTTTCCTGTCAGGTTTAATGCTGTCCACAGCGATGGTGAATGCTGGCCTGACTATGTTCCAGAAGATAGAGGAGACTAACCCCAGAGAGCTGGAGCTGGTGCGTGGAGCTCGTTAGCGAATCACATCCATGCTTATTCTCTTAGTGCCCTACATGAAACCGACCTCCTGCAAGGCTAATATAACGCTCTCCAGATTGTCAACAGGCACCCTCCTTTTGGAAACCAGATCAGGGAAGCAGTCATCCATCTTCCTAAGTATGAAGTCGGTTTGGAACAGGTAATAAGTGCTGACCTATTTTCAAAAACATTTCGAAACAACAGAATGAGAATTATTAGCAATCCTATTTTATGCCAGTAAGATGGGGGTGATTACTCATTTTGCCAAGTCTGGTTGTTTTGTTTGTGCTTTGTAGATTCAGAAACACACTAGCACAGGCATAGTGTTCACCAAGCAATGCCACAGTCACTGTCGTCACGATGTCATTATTTAATCTGTGTCAGGTTTGGCCACACACAGCACCCTCCATACCTGTCAGTGATGTCCTGAACATGCAGGCAGCTTGTGAGTGTTCAGGGGGCGGTTATTTCGACACCCTAGCAATATTAACCCGTCCCCAGAACAGTATAATGCCAGTTGAGTTGTTTTCGCTCACAGCCTCCACTTCAATGCAGGGTGGTCACCTTTTTTTGGTGAACCAATTAGGAGCCCTGTGACCAGCCATTATCAGCTCTCCCGTCAAGCAGTCTGAGAGTGATATCAATGTGGCACTCATTCACACAAACAGATTGACAGTTGTGTCACATGAATATCTGATTAAATATTTTATTTGCACTTCATAGATTTCAAGGTACAGTTTTTCAACTGCAGAAATCGTTGTGACTGTACACTTAAAAAACTATGAGCAGCTGAAGAACAAGAGAACGGCACCAAATCATCATTTTGTCACCCTAATTATAGGGGACTGTGACAACAGTGTGGTGTTCATTCAGAAAATAACGTAAGGGCTGCATTCCCATCTCAGCATTCCTTCACTGTTGGTTTTTCTCCGTCCCATGCGCACAGCCAGATATGGACAAAATGGCGGTCTGTGTTTTCCCTTGCAGCGATTTTCTGTTGCTGAAGACTGGGAGCTGGTCAAGGAAAATTGAAGTTACAAGAGCACCCAAGGGAGAGGAACTCAGTGTGAATCTGATTAGCTCAGAGTTAGGTGGGTGTGGCCTTCAGTGATTTATGTTTTCTGACATTATAGACTAATGACATAACAACTAGAGAAGAAGGGAAATTCTTTTGTACATTTGTGGTCACTGATTCAATTAGCATTGTTAGCAATTTGCCAGTTGGCAGAGTACCAACTCATCTTAGGTCCACATCACTGTACAGAATCTCTGCATCTAATAGTCTGTCTCTGAATTTTGGGAGTTGTGTTTTTTATGCCAGATAAAATACCTCTCATTAGTTTACTTCATTGAGACAATTCCATTGACAAGTTGGGATAGCATTATTATTTTTAAATATTTTTTTTGACAGATATTTAATATTCAGTTACAGCTAGTGAAAATATAATTCATAACGCAAAATAATCAGCACCCTACTAGAAAAAAAACTTGAAGAAAGACATGTTCTCGGGGAAAGGTAGACTTTGTCAGGCAGCACAGTGTTTCTTACCCAGTCTTAATCCGCACAGAATCACTTCTATTCAGGGCCGAAGGAAACACGAGTAATGAGTCCACACTAATCTTAATTCTCAGGAAGGACTTTTATATTCACAATTTTGTATTCACACCATTTTGTTGGCACAGTCCCAATATGTCATGTTAATCAGTTTGACTCTTAATTGCATTCATTTCTTATCTTGAAGTTGGATTTGACATTCAGCAGAAGTACAGTGTTTTCTATTCTGGAGCCAAAAGGTTTGGTGCTGAAAGTACTGGTTCAGAAAACATGCAGGTCAAAGCCCATGCTGTACAGAGCAAACTGCAGGAAGCACTGAGCTCAGCCCAAGGAGCTCAGAAGACAGTTAACCAAAAAACCAAAGGTATGTTAAGGGCAGGACAGCATACCGTAAGATATGTGTCATATGACCTTATTTACAATCTCATCCATCCATCATTCATCCATCCATGTTCTGCAACATGATTGACAGTTTTACGATTTTACTTTTATAATTACAATGGTCTCCTTTTCAGATAAAGGTTTAAAAGAGAATGTCAACCCAGATTCAGGAAGAAGACAGTGTAACCATTTTTGTAAAAATAAGGAGCAATGCGGACATGACTGTTGTAAGTAATTGAAAAGTGACTTCTTAATGTAACTGAAAATGTTACCTTCCCTTGCAGAAGGGGTTACTAGGGTGACAGGTGCACTCCTGTTACGTAACACATCAGTCATTTTGTAAACTCTCATTTTAGTGCTTTTTTGTTGCAGTGATACATGTCTGTCCTTCAGGTAAGGTTGGTGTGGGGGGGCTGCTGAAGAGGACCACAGACCGCGGGTCTGGCATTTCTTCCTACCTCAGGGATCTCAGAAACAGGACTGAAACCCTGACGGATACCCCAGTAAAACGTCTCAAGGTGCGCAAGGCTGAATGGTATCCAGCAGTGGGCTGCGGAATGTCACTTCACCCCAGAATGACTTGTCAGTGCAGTCCTGCCTGTCCGGCTGAGGTCCTGGTAGAGCGTAAACTGCCCTGACTGCTGCTCAGATCTCATGCTCCTTGGCGGTATTCCATCTGAATTGGCTTGGGGGCTCAGGATTTTGGCGCTTGTTAACATGTTTTCTTCAGCTTGTGCATCTTGGGGAAATTTCTTCTGTGTGTCAAAGTGCAAAACAAATATTTTTTTGCAGTTGGAGACAATACAGTCATACTGAGCTATCCTTAAGAGTCCTTTAGAAAATGGAAGCTTTGCAGATAGATGGAGATATGTTGCTGACCCCTAGAGGTGAAAAATAGGAAATGCTCCTAACCTCCTACAATAACAAAGGCCTTTTCAAATGCACTTTCCTCCACTAGATGAGGATGTCCGAAGAGGCCGCTGTGGGCATTCAGCATTTTGCATACTGTCCCAAGGACACCCTCGCTGCTGCATCAAGGTAGACATTGGTACCAAAAACATTCTTCTCAACTAGTTGTTATAAGGAAGTCTCGTTATTTTGTGTAAACCTGGTAAGTTATCAGGGAATAAATGAAAGATTTCTTATCATCATATTCTGTGTATACATCTTCATTTAGGATCCTAGTCGTAGTACTTGTCTAGAGTTACATTAGGGCATTAAGTAAATTGTTTATCTGTCCAATTTTTTTTGAGGTACGAAGGAAACTATTATAATCCTCATGCACAAGTAGAATTTGTGGAATCTGTAGAGGACTTTGGAAGCTCCATGGAGATGTGGAAAGGAGCTGCTTATTCTGACAGTATGTGCAGCCTTGAAAAACATGTATGAAGAGGCAGACCCGCAGTCTTTCGTGGTCTCACTTGAGGGATCACCAGATGGCGAGAGAACTTACAGCCATAGCAAATGACGTGTTAAAGAATCAAAATGATCCCATCACAGCAGCCATTTCCCATGAATGCTCATTTGCCGAGAATTATGACCACAGTGTAAGCAGCCATTCCCAACATTAAGATCTCCTCTGTTTTGCAACCCTGCAGACCTCAGCACGTCTCTGGGCGGCACATGTCCCCGGACAGATGAAGCTGGGAAGAACCAGTCAGTCAGCAGCACTGCTGAGGGTACAGCCTGCCTTACTGACCTGGGCCCGAGTCATTTACTTACTGCCTCACTGACACTAGTACTTAGTCTCTTTCCTGAAAATAACTTACAGTAAACTTATGACACGTTTATGTATGTTCTTATATTTCAGATGTTTTAGTGTGCGAGCGATCTGACTCCGGCAGTGAGGATTTGGTTCTCACCCATCAAAGCCAAATGCACTGTGATTTCAACATACCACAAGCAGGTCCCACACACGACAGTGACCACTTCCCTTCTGATATCCTGGATGTGAACTTTGACTTGGGAATAGACGACTGGGGTGATTTTGACGATGAGAATTTAGTGCAGGCCAGTGAGATTTCAGAATCGGCAACACAAGAGAAAGACCATGAAGGGCCCGGAGGTATTCTCTCTGGATGTGTTAAACCTACTCACTACTGTGTCAAACCTACTCACTACTGTGTCAAACCTACTCACTAGTGTTATACTATTTACAAATGGGAGTGAATTTACTGTCATCTCTTTTCTATAAAATGCCAATCTTAACAGAAACAACTTGGTTTGTCTTTCACTGATTTTTCACACTGAATATATAACGACTGAATTATCACTGAATGCATAATGAACTATCCCTCCAGCAAGCTTCTCTCCCTGCAACGATCAGCCGGAATCTATCTTACAGGATGACAGATTGCCTGGGTAAGCTAACCAATTAAAACAAATCACTATCTGCACATTAAGAACTGCACAGTTTAGCAGGACAGTTTTCCACTAATAGTCAAATAACAAAAAAGCAGATGAACAACAAAGAGTGTCTGACAGTTCTAAGCACTGCGGTTGGTGTACTGCTTTTCATGTTTGCCTCTTGTAGTATGCACTAAATCGTATTTACCCGTTTTAAAATGCTTTAACAAAATCACGTTTCATTCAGAAGCTCAGCTGCAGCCAGCTGCCCCATGCCATCCGTGTGTGTGCCTCCTCTCTCTCCATCTCCCAAACCATGTGACTTCCAAGGCCTTGCTGATGAAGACACCGTGAGTCACATAAAACTGTGTACATGGCTGTAAAGTCACTCTGTGTTCCCAAGCCACGGCTGAATGAGTTACTCTAGCTATCGAGCTTGATACTAGGGTGTGTATCAGTAATCATGTGGAGATGGTTTCATTTAAACTGAAAGCTTTCAATTCGTTGAAAATTTGCTGCTCTACTTGAGATTACACTGCCATTTGAAAACATATTGGTGACCACATCCTAGCATGTGAAATTTGTACCTTTCTAAGGATACAAGATTGGAAGCGGATTTTTTTTTCTTCTGTAGAAATCATCCACAGAAATGCACGGGAATAATGTGTCTTTGCTGCCAAAACATGGTGGATTCAACCTGACTGCACCGTGTAGAAAGTATGACTTTTTTGCCAAGCCCAGTGTCCCAGAAAAAACAACAGATAAAATTGGCAGGTAGGAGATGTTCTGAAATGTCTGTGTAAAGTATATAGACTACATGGGCAAAAGTATTGGGATGCACCTCTTAATCAATGAATTCAGGTGTTTCACTCAGATCCTCTGCCACAGGTGTATAAATTCAAGCACCTATCCATGCAGACAGGTTTACAGACAGAATGGGACGTTCTGAAGAGCTCAGTGAATTCAAGCGTCATAGGATGCTACCTTTGCAATAAGTCAGTTTGTGAAATTTCTTCCCAGATAGATATTCCACATTCAACTGTAAGTGGTATTATTGCAAAGTGGAAGCACTTCGGAACAACACAAACCCAGCCATGAAGCTGCAGACCACGTAAAGTGAGAGAGCGGGGTCACCGAGTGCTGAGGTTCATGAAGACATGGTTGGGTGCGTTTAGTGTAGAAGAACTTGACTGGCCCACACAGAGCCCAGACCTCAACCACATCAAAAACTTTTGGGATGAACTAGAACAGAGATCGTGAGCCAGGCCTTCACGTCGAACATCAGTGCCTGACCTCACAAATGCTCTTTTGGATGAATGAATGAAAATTCCCACAGACACACCCCAAAATCTGGTGGAAAGCCTCACCCAGGAGAGTGGCAGCTGTTATAGCTGCAAAGGGGGGACCAACTCCATATTGAAGCCTGTGGATTTAGATTGGGATGTCATACAAGGTCCTATGGGTGTATGGGTCCCAATACTTTTGTCCATACAGTGTGAGTGCCGTGACATTTACAAGTCTATTTTTCTGTTCAATCTAATGAGAAAAAGAGCTATTTTATTACTGCTGTGCTTACAGTACACCTGTGATTGATTACAGGCTTCAAGCAGAAGACTGCTCCTCTGAAATGGAAGCATTCATTGGAATATTTGATGGAATATTTTAGGGATTTAATTTGTTTTTTGATGAATATGATGTTTGTTTAATGAGACTTTTTCCTTTTGTTTTTTCAACAGAAATGGATTTGGTTAATGATTTTTGCAATAGTTTTATATTGTGGCGTTGGTGCTGAAATGATTTTTAAAAATAAAGTTGCTAGTGGCAGACTACAAATAAATTTATGAAAAAAGGGAATGGAAACAGTTTCCTCTAGTGATTCTTCTGTACGCAGATGTCTTTTATTTTTATTTCAGTAAAAATGTTTTACTAGCACGATATGTTTGGCTGATGTTTCCATCTTCCTAGCAGCGCAGATAGACGAATAATCGTCAGGGAGCCTATATGAATATTCTTTCATGAAGGGACGCCTTATGAATATTAATTAGCACATGGAGGCCGTCCCTCTTACGTCATGTTTTAGCGCGCAGTTTGCTGGCGGAAAAAGAGTTGGCAGAAGTAAACCAGTAAGTTACTACGGAATCTTTTATTATATTATTTTTAGATTTATCAAAGTATTTCAACTTAGACCTTAAGCTTAATGGCAAAGTACACAATAAAAGTGAGTAAAGTAAAAGTAGGACACGGAGTGATGGCGTACGGAGAGTGTTTGCTGGCTTTTTGAGCGATGGCCGCCTTGTCTGTGTAACTTTAAATCCTCCCGCGAAATAGGTGCATGTCGCTTAATTTACAGGCAGATTTAAAAAGCGGCAAACAAAGCGAATGGTTTGTAATGTGCCGTGTTTCGGAGGTTGCTGGTCGGGGGCTTCGCTTTTATCCCGTAGTTCGGCTAACCGCTAACCGGGCTGCATGAGCGCCCAGACTGGCTTTCTGTCTCCAGCTGGTTACTGTCGTAGCGCTCGGCGCTGTGGTGCTGCTTACCTCCCCGGGGGCCGCACTCTGATCGGCATCCGCACATCAACTGGCGGCCTGCCCTTCCATTTCTCTCCTGTTTGGTCAGCCTGCTATTAAGCGGCACCATTTTCTCTGATACGTAGCCGCCTGCTCTTATCGGACCCCGGCCCGCCTTTTCTGTTGTTCCGCCAAATGGAGGAAGTAGAGACTGACCGGACATGTGGGGAGCCTGGTGGGCTGGAGAGCCAGCCTGCGGTGGAGAGAAGCAGGAAAGGCAAAATATCCAGTATGTAGGGGGGGGGGTCACGTTCTGATATTCAATATGTACTGGAGGAGGGAGGTCACTTTCAGATAATTATTAAATACAGTAGTGGGGGTTTTAAAAAAATGTTTTCTTTTGCTAAAATTAACTTTATAAGGAAGGGGTTTGCAGCTTTGTGTCTGAATGGAGACTGTGCTGCTTCACTGCAGGTGAGGTGAAGATGGATATCGAGCAGTTGTACGAAGCCGTACCTCAGCTCACCAAAGTGTTTCACATCATCGACAAGATTGGAGAGGGTAAGACTCCCTCGATGACCTTAGGCCGGATTCTAGCGAAGGCTTGCTTCAGAGCTCATCTTTCACCGTATGCTCCGTCAGGCTTTCAGATGTGGTTCCTTATTACCAGGTACCTTCAGCTCCGTGTACCTGGCAGAGGCCCAGATGAAGACTGGGGTCAGGGAGAAGTTTGCACTCAAGCACCTGATTCCCACCAGCCACCCACTGCGCATCGCCGCAGAGCTGCAGTGCCTAACGGTTGCTGGGTGAGTCGGCCTGTGCCCCAATGCAGGAATCTGCTGTAGCTCGTTTTACACTATTTATGGTAATTACATGAAAGCTTAGATGAGGTCATCACCTCATTCAGCATTGGGCTGGTCTCTCTGCACAGTCCCCTTACCTCTTTGCTCATAAGTGTATTGTATATGCAGCCAAAATGTTTAAAATGAAAATCTGATCGAGTTACATTGCAGAAGACCCCAGTCTATCCAACCATCCTTGGCTTAAATTTGACATGCAAACCAGCCCCATGTTAGAAGCAGCCTTCAATCCTTTTGCTGCAGAACAGAAATAGTATATGCAAAACACATTCGGAATCCAGTGTCATTTTTATTTTCATAACAGATTCTGATTAAACCAAGGGCTTAAGCTTAGTACCGTTCTCCACTCCAAAGATGGTGCTCACTACAGTATGTCCCCCAATCTTTATAAAATGGAAGAAATCTAAAAATATTTTTTGTGAGGAGTGTTTTTGCATGATGTCAGTTATGTCCCTGTGCCTGGAAACTGGGACATCTTGTTTATTCAGAAACCATCACCGAGAGTGAAACATTGTACTGTTTCTGGATATACCGTATATCACCGTGTATGCTTTGTGAAATATCATTGACATATCGAGGGTTGTTTTCTGAGTTAGAAAGGTCTTTTTAAAACGGTCGTCTTTATGGCGTGGTTGATGAAGCTTGCTTGCTGCTTGCTGCAGTGGGAAGGAGAACGTCATGGGGGTGACGTACTGCTTCCGGAAGGATGACCACGTGGTCGTCGTCATGCCATACATGGAACATCAGGCTTTTGTGGTGAGTGTACCGCAGTGCGGGAGGGCCCCAACCACATTGATGACAAGGCCTGACATGGTGCTGCTGTCTGGTTCCTCCTTCAGGATGTCTTGGGCTCCCTAAGCTTTGAAGAGGTGCGACAGTACATGTTCCACTTGCTCAAAGCCCTCGCGCACGTTCACCATTTTGGAATCATCCACCGCGACATCAAGCCGAGCAACTTCCTGTACGACCGGCTGCACAGGAGGTGTGTGTCGTCACCTGGTTCCAGTGCCTTCCAGGGGACGGGAAAGTAGTCCATCCTGGTATCTTCTCAAACCCGCATACCGTCAAGCCGTGCTCCATTAATGATGCCCTGTTTACTCACCTCTAACTTGCTCTAAATATTTGTTGTAGGGAGGGTCTGTGAGCACATCTGTCCAAAGCAGGCCACCTGCTTGCCCCTCTGTAATCGCTGTGTGCGTCATGTCTAAGAGCGGCCCGGCCTTGACCTGGCCTGCGAGTGTAAGCTATGTCGTCATAGGAATAAACAAACAGTCGGAATGAAACATAATGTTAGTCCTGGTGAAGCCCATGGGCTGTGGGGCTGAAACCTGCCCCAGGGAAGTCAGGCCCTGGAGGAGATCCTCCTCCATGATCCTCGTTCTAGCATTCTCTACTGAGTGTGGGGTTCTGCTCTAAGCACTTTTCACGACATGTGGACCGTGGAAAGCTTTGGCTTCTTGTGGAGGAATCTGCTTCGTATGTCTCCGATATGCCTTCAGCGGAAATTGATTCCTTTACCCATCTCACGTGGATGTCAGTGTGCTGTTAAAGCCAGATGATTCTAGTTAATCCCAGAAAGCACCTTTTCTTAAACTGGTATGAAGCTTCCGTTTGGATCGTCTTTGCAGCCTTTTCTGCAAGCAGGGAAGAGCCTCCTTTCTTTAAGGACCATATGCTCACGCTTTGCTGGTGCTGCTCCAGATGTCTTTTCCGAAAGGGTAATTCTCGCTCTTAAAGTTCCCAGTGATCTGCTGTCCACAGGGCTCCATGTGCTGCGAGTTCCTTGGCTCTGGTCCCAGGCGGGGCCTTGTTGTCAGTTCCCTGGAGTGAAGCCGGGCTCCCATCTGTGCGAGCTGAACGGCTCGGAGCCGTTTCTCTGCATGCCCAGTCTCGGCCTTTCGACTGAACTCGATGTAAACGCTTCTTGCTGTTCCAGGTACGCTCTGGTGGATTTCGGGCTGGCACAGGGCACACCAGACACGCAGATTGAGCTGCTCAAGGTGGTCAAGCTGAAGAGTCATCAGGAGAGACCCCCAGGGCCCCCAGCAGAGCGGGTGGCCCAGAGTGCGGCCGCCACCCCGGGTCCGGCATTGCAGCACCCCCTGGTACCTGCTGCCCGCAGGTCTCTGCCTCTTGCTCAAGCTAAACGCAGCAAGGTACTGCTTCAGGTTACCTCTCACGTGGTGACCTGTAAACCGATTAATTCACAAATCTAAATGGACCTCCAGAAGCTGACTTTAACCAAGGCAATTAATCGATAATCCTTGTTTGTCCTATGTGCTTTATAGCTTTTAGGGGCTATATGGGGTTTTCTGACTTCTGGCCAGTAGGGGGAGCTGCATCCAAAGAATCGGCCATTTGTTTGGCACGGCCTCTCTACGCACAGGTTGTTGATATATAGATCCCGTGCGAGTCTGCCTCCCTCTAAGTGGAACACTTAAAGCCCGCTCCAGCCTCTGGCACCCACACATTTATATATTTAGATGTATGTATAAAACCTGCTGGCCACAGAGGGTTCTGGCCCGTCTCACCAGATCCACATGGCACGTCACTCTCAGAAGTGTTTATTACCCTACTGTGGCCTCAGTGCAGGGAGATGGGGGTGATTTATAAGCACCTGCTCTAGTGCCTTTTCTGTATGGAGAAGCATACAGAGTTGTGCTGTTAAAATATGAAATGCTTGTGAGGTCCCATTACCAGACAGATGAGTGTAAGAGGGGCTTTGGTGTGGAGGGAGTTCACAAAGTCAGGCTTATGCCCTGTGCGCCGTCGCTCTCTGCTGGGCGGCCTGTGGAAGTGCATGGCAGGGATGCTGACGCACTTGCACACAGTAAGACCTTGCCTGCATTATGCTGTATATCTCAGCATGCGCGGCTTTCATGCGTGCCGGAGCCCTGACTCTCCCCCATCCCCCCCCCAGGACGCTGTGGCCCAGCGCTCTGTGTTTGGGGAGAGGAACCTCAACAGCCTCAACCACTGTGAGGGCGCCGTCATCAAGGTAACCAGACTCATGGCTTCCTGCTCTGAAGCGTTCGGTGCACACTGAGGTGAAGCTGCCTTTCTTTTTATAAAATCTTACCTGATCACAGTGCGTGACCGAGAGAAACTTTTTAAAATGTGACCTCTTCATTATGACTTAATAATTAATGTCGGTCACTAAGCAGAGTAATGTTCGTTGAGAGCTGGCGGTCAGCGAAGACAGATGTGTTCGGCTCCCAGGAATTGCTGCGTTTCGCAGTCGTGCGGATTTTTTTGTCAGATGTTTGGTAGAAGGTCATTGGAACTGTGCTGTAAACATAAAGATGATCCCAGCCGCGGGTCACAGAGAGGGCAGCCGGTGCTGCGTGGCGTGGATGCGGCTGTTACCTCAGGATAAGCCCCGCTCACTTACTCTGGAGAATGTCCCGTTTCTGATAGGCTGTAGTCTTACTGATTAGTATTATTGTTGGTGGGTGGAGTGGAGGATTGTGGGATAGACACCGCCACGCCATGTCTTACCCAACCACCTTCCAGTACCGTCTGTTTGGGAGATAAGGCGTGAACTCTCCTCCGTTTGTTTGACAGTAAAGAACGAGAGGACCAAACGGGTCACCTGTCATATGAGCCTCTGTTCCTTGGTCTGTCCAAGCAGCTAGTGAAAGCCCCCAAGACGGAGAGTGTGCCGGCAAGGAAACTGGTGGTGTCGAAGCGCCGGGCCATGCCAGGGAGGGCGCCGGTGAGCGGGCAGAGGCCCCGAACCAGCCTTGGGCCGGGCCTGACCTGCGACTGCTACATGACGGACCGGGTGTGCAACGTCTGCCTGTCCAGGTATGTGCGGCGAGCTCGCGTGACCTGATTGGCGTAACACCCCAGAGTGATTTATGGTTACGGCAGCCACGGTCCTCATCATAAATATTCTGGAGTTTCTCGCTGAGTGCCGGCGGCTGCCTGGTCCCAGTCCACTCACTTTAATTTAGTTCTCGCTTACGTTCCGAAGGTGATCAGCTTGCAGAGTGGCAGAGAAAAAAAAACCCACACGCTTAGGTAGAGCCCCCCCCTCACCAAACTGCAGGCGAAGCGCCTGCGTGTGGATGAGTGCTTCCCGATCACGCATGTCGTCGCGGAGACCCTCGCATCGTCGGCCATGCCTGCCAGGCTCTTTCGGGCCGTGGCTGCTCCGCGTCTCGCTCGCGTAACCCGACACGCCAGGAGGAGGCCAGAGGCCTCCTTTCAGGCTTTGCTATTAAATTATTCTGGGCAGCCAGTCCAGGTTCCTCTGTATAATTTGTGCCTTTATTTTATATTATTTTTGTTTTATTATAACAGTCCCTGAGAGGTTCTGATTACACAGACCAAACCAAAACCAGCGTGGCAGCATTTCTCAGACGCCGTTTTCTACAGGCTGGTGTTAAGATAAATTTTTTAGTGAGGTTATTTCGCGTCCTTTAGTATGTCTGCCCTGTGAACACCTTTAGAAACACAAACACACACATGTGCCCCCTCATGGCCTGACGCTCCTCTTTCCTTCCTCCCCCCCAGAAAACAACAGGTGGCCCCCAGGGCGGGAACGCCGGGATTCCGAGCCCCCGAAGTCCTCACCAAGTGCCCCAATCAAGGGACAGGTAAAGCACCCGCAGCTTGCCAATGCCCCCCCCCCCCCCCCCCCCCCCGCCGGCTTCCTGCGTGTGTGCAGCACGTGAGCTTTAGGCTCTGGGTTTGAAATCGGCATCTCCTGCATCCACGGCTCTGCGTGACATATGGAGTTTATTTGCCCGCAGATTGTAATGCAGTGAGATCATTTCCTGTTTTGCTGTAATAGATTCCCCTTCCCCTGCTTTCACTGCGCTCTCTTTGTGGAGGTTCTGTCTCCTTTTCCTGCGGGGTGTCCGTCTCAGAGAAGCCGGCGACCTGCGAGCCGGTGGGGGCCCGCTGAGCTGCTGCCTTTGAGTTGCCGCGTCCTGACAGTGCGCCATCGCTCTTAGGCATGCATGGGGCACCACACTGGAGGTGATAAGATGTCATCATAATGGGGTAGTACCTGTAATGGCGCCACCTCTCTGGAACTGGATCATGCAGAAGCCTGGTCCAGTTTCACTCACTGGAACCTAATGGATGCTGTGGACCGGGGCCGGCAGGATGGGAGGGGGCTCGCCCCTGTTAGGGGTAGGGGGGATGTCTACATCAAGTCAGATGGGTCACTGCAGCTTGCGGGGTAAGACCAGGTGTCCTGTATCAGATCCGTTATGCACGCCGCCCCCCCAAGCGTCAGTGCGGTGTCCCAGCACTGGCCCGTCAGGCAGCTGCCCCCAGGAACCCGCTTGTGGGTTTTCCTAATGTGGCTGGTGTGACAACGCTGTTCAAACGACGCAGACTGGTCGGCTCACTGCGCCCAGAGTTTATTGATCGGGGGTGGGGGGGGGGGCTTCATTTAAGATGCTGTGTGAATAATTTAGTTAGATCTCTGAGAGCTTGAGGAGGGTGACCAGGGCCCCTCTCTGCTGGGGCCCCCATGCCACCTCTCGCTCTGTGTGGTCAGGTCCCCTTTAGTTACACTGACGTTCGCCTGTCTGTGTGCGTTATGTAGATATTACATTGTGGGGACCAAATGCCCCCACAATGTGATGATAACCTGTTATTTTTTTTTTTGGTTTTAGGATTAGGGGTTTTTCCATAGAAATGAATGGACAGTCCCTG